GCTCTTATTGGATCTCGTCCATGGGATCCAATAATTCAGGGGCTTATTGGATATCCAATAAGACAAGGGCTCCGTCGGATATCTCATATCCGAGCCTCTACTCATCGCAATGCCTACCATATGTGTGTGACCCTCTAGGCCCAATATCGAGCTGGCCGTGAGTCATACTTGTTAGAACTCCTAACTCAGTGAATTATTATCTTTGTAATAATTCACTCGACTCATCGACTACGGACATACTAGGCCACTACGCCGTAGTCCCCAAACGATACAGGGGAATCCAATCCATTAGACCTGCCTGTCCTTAGTTACTGTGTACCTATAGTCCCTCATCCATCTAATATCCCAGATATCGTATATCGAGCATGGTGCTGTCAGACCCATACGGTTTCTACTCGAGTCTCGCTCTAATCGGATTCTCCCAGAGAACGCTTTCTCTCTCAACCCGAATGACCCTGGCTAGGGATTTGTCTGAGTAAAAACACATGAGATATTCCTCTCATGACGTCGAGAGTGAATGATCCTCTATTGACACTCAATAGCCCTCGTAAGGTCGACTACCACTCCCAATGACTAGCTGTACTAGATCTGGGACAACCAAACCTATAAGTCTGGCATCAAAGAGTAGAGCACTCATACAGGACATCCTTGGTGTCTCAAGTCTAAGGACCAGATATACCACTAGGACTATGGAATTGCTGTTTGACAATAAGGCATCATCAACCATCTAGCATTCCTTAAGCGGATCAATCAGTGAACTCATTCTCCAATGAGCACCTGTACTGTATCCCTAGTGTCCCTACACGAGCAGCTATGAGACCAACTGCATCCATCATATGGACGGATATACAGCACACCAGTTTGTCCGGTTATCACGATGTCCCTCTCGAGTAACCTATGACCGGGATTATTTAGGATATGTGTTTAAAGTTGAATCGATCTCATTTTTGTGATCTCATTACGATTCGATTCTCATTGCACAAATCCAAGGACATCACAATATACATGTGCATATATGCAATAGTTATAAAGTGATATATGCCAAAATATAATAAACAAAAAGATTCTGTATCAAGTCACACGTGCCATCACTCACGTGATTGGCTTGCTGGGCACTTATGACTAGCACTACCCAAGTCTCTTAGATTAGTGGATCTCTATCCAATAATCTCTCATTGGCTCTTATTGAATCTCATCCATAGGATCGAATAATTCAAAAACTTATTGGATATCCAATAAGATAGGGGCTCCGGTGGATATCTCATATTCGAACCTCTACTCGTCGTAATGCCTACTATATGTGTGTGACTCTCTAGGCTCAATATCGAGCTAGCCATGAGTCATATCTTTCAAAACTTCTTCTGGATTAGTGAATTATTATCTTCATAATAATTCACTCGACTCATCAACTGCGGATGTCTAGGCCACTACACCACAGTCCCCAGACATTATATGTGAATCCAATCTATTGGACCTATCTGTTCTCAGTTATCATATATCTATAGTCCTTTATCCATCTAATATCCCAGAGACCATATACCGAACATGGTGCTGTCAGATCAATACGGTTTCTACTCGAGTCTCGCTCTAATCGGATTCTCCCGGATAACTCTTTCTCTCTCAATCTGCATGATCTTGGCCAAGGATTTGTCTGACCAAGAATATATGAGATATTCCTCTAATGACACCGAGAGTGGATGATCCTCTATCGACACTCATTAGTTATCGTACGGTTGGCTGCTACTCTTAATGATCGACTGTGTTAGATGTGGAACTTCCAAACATATAAGTCAAGTATCAAAGAGTGGAGTACTCATACAAGACATCTTTGGTGTCTAAAGTCTAAGGACCAGATACACCACTAGGATGAAGGAATCGCTGTTTAATAATAAAACGTCATTAACCATCCAGTATTTCGTGAATGGATTAATCAGTGAACTCATTGTCCAATAAGCACCTGCAATGTAACCCTAGTGTCCCCACATGAGAAGCTATGAGACCAGCCGCCTCCATCATATGTACGAGTATATAGTATACCAATCTGTCCGGTTATCTCAATGTCCTTCTTGAGCAACCTATGACTAGGATTATTTAAGATCTATGTTTAAAGGCGAATCGGTCTCATTATCATAATCTCATCATGATTCGATTCCCATTGCACATATCTATGAACATCATAATATATTCATGCAATAGACAATATAAAGTCATAAAATGCTAAATAATATAAGAATATATATCATCATCACTCATGTGATTAGCTTGCTAGGCACCTATGACTAACAATCTCTCACTTGACCTAAAGTCAATCACCTATGTGTCTAATCTCCATCAGACCCCTATGACGCTCAAAGACAATATGAGATAATGGCTTTATCAGTGGAACTATGATGTTATCTTTGGATAGAATTCTTTTCACTACTACATCTCCTCGGGTCATGATCTCTTTGATCAGGTGGAACCTCCTCAAAATATGCTTAGACTTCTGATGAGACCTGAGTTGCTTTGCTTGAGCAATCGCTCAATTGTTGTCACAATATAAGGGAATCAACTCCTCGCTACCCGGTACAACTCCCAAATCTGTGATGAACTTCTTTATCTAGACTCCCTCCTTTATTGCCTCTACTACAGCAATGTACTCCACCTCTGTGGTCGAGTCAGTAGTAGTATCTTGCTTGGAACTCTTCCAGTATACTGCTCCTTCATTTAGGGTGTACACATACCCCAAATTTAACTTGCTATCATCAACATCGGATTGGAAACTTGAGATCGTGTAGCCTTCAACCCTAAGGCTACTACCTCCATATATCAGTAAAAGATCCTTAGTTCTTTGTAAATACTTAAGGATACATTTTATTGCTTTCTAGTGCTCCAAGCCTGGATCTGCTTGATACCTGCTTGTGACAATCAATGAATACGCTATATCAGGCCTGATACATAGCATGACATACATGATAGACCCTATCGCTGAGGCATAGGGTATCCTATCCATGTTTACCCTTTCTTCAAGAGTCTTTGAGGACATACTCCTAGAAAGTGATATCCTATGTTTTATTAGTATGAGACATCTCTTGAAACTTTTCATGTCAAACCTTTTGACAATGGTGTCTATGTACATGGACTAGGGCAAGCTAAGAATCATCTTGGATATGTCTATATAGATCCGAATTCCCAAGATATAGGATACTTCCCCTAAGTCTTTCATGGAAAAGTATTTAGATAACTAAGCCTTTACTATGTATAGCATTCCTACATCTTTCCCAATGATCAGGATGTCATCCACATATAATACCAAGAAGGTAATAATGCTCCCACTTACCTTCCTATACACACAAGGCTCATCTTTATTCTTAACGAAATCATAAAATTTGAATGCAGCATCAAATTTTATGTTCCAACTTTGAGAAGCATGCTTTAGTCCGTAAATGGATCTAAGCAACTTACACACCTTATCTGGGCAGTCCTTAGACACGAATCCCTCAGGCTGTATCATATACACCTCCTCCTCGAGGTTGCCATTGAGGAACATAGTTTTCATATCCATTTGCTAGATCTCATAATCATAGTATGCTGTAATAGCCAATAGAATTCGGATGGATTTTTGGCATGAATACAAGTGAGAAGGTTTCGTCATAATCAACACCTTGTCATTGACGATATCCCTTAGCCACTAGCTTTGCGTTATAAGTCTCTACCTTTCTATCTACTCCGATAGCCTATACTCGTAATAATCTTCTCGTAGGTCTAAAGATCATTATCCTTAACATTCTCTCCTTTAATATGTTCCACATATCTTTCAGGAGGATGAGATACTCTATCGAACCTACATAAAGTCGAAACTTCTGTGCTAGGTACTTGAACAACCTCGAGCTATGGAGTAATGCTTGAGCTAGGTTCTCTAGTCTCACTCAACTCTATTACGCTCCTATTGTCTCCGTAAAAAATGTGTTACTTCTCGAGGAACATCGCTCTCTTAGCTACAAAGACATTAATGAAAGTGACTTATTGGCATATGTTCTCTGGTGTACATCTCCCTTAACCTACACGACAAAGACATTAATGAGGGTAACTTGTTGGCATGTGTTCTCTTGTGCACGAGATGATCATGCTTCTCGGTTAATTTCCTTATCGCTTTGGGTTAAGCAAAAAGTGATCTCTTTGTCGATTGTCGAAAAGGAAAGGCCGGAGATCATAGAGAGTAAGTGGTTCGTGAGTTATTGCTTAGGTGTTGCTTAAGTGAGGAGGAGAAAAGTGAAAAGTGAAAAGTGTTAGGATTATTATCAACGTAAATATCTTATATGTCTTCATTGCAGACTAACATGAAAATAAATTGGTCTAATAGAAACATGGATAGTAAACAGACAAACAAACAAACTGACGATTTAATCTAAATTGTGAAGCTGTCGCTCGAGTAGGAAGCCGACCCTTTTTGTCTCTTCTAACTGAACTTGTATTCTTACCAATTAGTACTATCTGCAATGGAGGCGGCATGCAATACTAGAAGCAGGTGATGATCCACCGACGAAATGAATATGCATGTGAAGCATTTTTAATATTAGAAGTGATGCTTATGGACCGAAAGTACATTTGGCAAAACAAAATAACCACAATAAGTATGATGGGATATAAACCGTTCTGGCTATAGTGAGAATACTTCTTTACAATATCATGAGACAAACGGGTAGAAGAGCGTTTCCATGTCCTAAAGTCACAAGCCCTCGGCCAAGAACACAAATGTACTGACGAGGCCATGAATGTTTGATACAGTAAAACAAATCAGAAATGAGCATAAAGGGAGTAATTTTGGGTCGACCAAACTTGCCTAATATTTTCCTTACCCCATTAATCATTTTGATTAAAAAAAAGAACCCCTAGAAAGAGAAACTTAGCTTCTGATGAACATAACTCTCGCTACAGCCATATGCTACTACCAGTCAACCACTTGCTGATAAGAAGATATGATAGTCAATTAAATGGTCCGTTCCAATAATCACAAAGTCATACAAATAACATTTATCACACTATCAAAAGAGCATTTACTGAAATGAACCATCACTACAATAGAATAGAGACTGTTTGCTTAGTCGGCTCATTCTAGATTGCACCATAGTTAAGCCTTAGTCTCAACAATTGGAATATCAGACTATACTTGCAGATATTAAAATAACAAAACCTCAGTCTATTCAAGTTCATATCCAGAATTGCTAATCTCAAAAGAAAAAAAGCAATCTCAGACATTACTCAAACTAAAACATGCATCAGAGAGAGAAAGCAACCACTGGGCAACACTAGTGTTACCTAACTTGAACAGCAGCTGGGTTTCTTCAGTGTAGAAGCATCATCCTTCACGTTTATTCTCTCACCTTTACTAGGTACAGAAGATGTTGCATCATCACCTGCTTCGACTGCCTTCTTACTCACAATACGGTATATCTGAGTCAAGACCTCTTGAAATGCTTTGTCCACATTTGTTGCTTCTAATGCAGATGTTTCCATAAAATATAGGGATTCCCTCTCAGCATAAGCCTTGCCGTCTTCGGTCGGAACAGCGACAAGGTGTCGGAGGTCGGACTTATTCCCAATGAGCATGACAACTATGTTAGGATCTGTGTGGTCCCTCAACTCTTTTAGCCAACGTGAAACATTCTCAAATGTAGGACGTCTGGTAACATCATAGACGAGCAGTGCGCCTACTGCTCCCCGATAATAAGCACTTGTTATGGCACGATACCTGCATTTGAAGGTCAAATTAAGCAATATATATTATTAGCATAATTTCAACCTGAAATGCACCAATTAGCACTTGATACGCTTTCCAGCTTGTGCCAGATCTGACAATTTTAACTTAGGGTTTACCACAACCTCCAAGATCATTTCTGCATGTCTGTATTTACCATGGTTGTGACCAGTGGTATAGATTACACATACATAGATCTGTACATCGTCTGTGCAAATTATAGTCAATACAAAGAAACATAAGTGTTCAACATGATGAACACATACTTGCTCTCCACAAGATCGATGAGCATGTCGAATTATCATGTAAGAATATTCAGATTAGCGTCACAACAAACTCAGGTCCACCTAATGGTTGTTATATCAACAATCAACTAAATGTTGGATTTATGCAAATGACCAACATATATTGAGAAAAAGCTCAACTACATGTTCTTTTCATTGTCATCAAAGGTGCAGACACCTTTTGATGATCCTAACGTATGCTAGCAGAACAAAGTACATTGACATCCCAAGTAACTGTTCCGTGATTCAAAAGCAAGTTTTCACAGGAGACGGGAAACATCAGTAAATATTGTTGTTCAAGGCTAATGAAGTGCTGCCATGAACAGCAGGATATTGTTCAATGATTGCAATGTTCTTGACAAAGTACCAAAATATGAAAGCACACAGAATTCCAATGATGCATATGGAGTTGTACTTTATCTTTTGATCAATGAGGGTGAAAGATTTATTGGGATATGATAGATTTTTTTTATTGGTTTAAAAGACTTGTACTTTATCTTTTGATCAATATAAATAGGTACTCTTGGATCAATCCAAAGCACTGCAAATTGGAAGTACTCTTAGTATCTTCTACTATTTTCTTCGCCCTCTCCCTGAAGTTCTGTAGAAAAGCCAACAGTGTGGTACCAGAGCCTGGTTCAAAGAAGATCAACAAGAGTACATCGATTAAAAAGAAAAGAAGACTAGTAGATCCAGAAAAACAAACAAGAAGATGGTAGGCATTAAAGTAAGTGTTCATAATTAACTTCTTCCTATCTTCAAAGGTGATAATTATCAATTTTGGACTGTTAAGATGAAAACTCTATTTATTTCACAAGGATTATGGAATTTGGTAGAGAATGATTATGTTAAGTATGACCTACAGGATCTTAATATTACTAAAGATAAAAAAGATCAGATGAATAAGAATATGCAGAAAGATGTAAAAGCCCTCTACATGCTACAACAAGCAATAGATGATTCCCTATTTCCCCGAATCATAATGACATCAACATCAACAGAAGCTTAGAAAATATTAAAAAGTGTGTTTGGAGGCACAGACAAGATAAAAATTTCAAAGCTCCAAATTCTTCAACATTAATTCGAAACCCTTATGTTGAAAGATTCTGAATCTATCGCTAATTTCTTCTCAAAAGTATCTTCTATTATGAATCAAATGAGATCTTATGGTGAATCTAAAAGATCAAACTGTAGTAGAAAAAGTTTTACGAAGTTTATCTCCAAAATTTGATATGATTTTTGCTTCTATAGAAGAAGCTAAAGATACAAATACATTGTTTATTGATAATTAATGGACTCCCTTTTAGTTTATGAACAAAAAGTAAACAGATCTTCAGATGAAACTTCAAAACAAACTCTTTAAGTGAAGATATCTCAGAAGAAGGACCAAAGGAAAAATTCAAAAGCTAGATCTTAAGGGAGAGATTAAAATAACAGAGGTCGTGATCAATCAAATGAGGGACAAAGGAACTCGAATGAAGGTAATAAGGAAACCCGTCGATGTTTTTGTTGCAAAAAAATTGTACATATTGAAAAAGATTGTTGGTACAAAAATAAAAACTAAATGTTCCTCTCTGCTCTTACTGTAAAAAATATGGTCATCTTGAGAAAGATTGTTGGAATAAAAATCAAATAAATTATCATAAGAAAAATAATAGTAAAAAAAACGATGAAGAAAATTTTTTTCTTATAGCATCTGATGAAGAATATTCTAAATCTATTTGGTTTTTGGATAATAGATACAGTAATCATATGATAGAGGACAAAAGTTTATTCTAAAGGCTTGATGATTTAGTCAGATCTACAATGCAAATAGGAAATAACAATAAGGTTCAAGTGGAAGGAAAAGGAACAGTTACTGTGAACACCAAATCTAGTAAAAATATCATTGATGATGAGATGATTATTCCTGGTTTAAAATAAAATCTCATTAGTATAGGGCAACTGATGAGAAAAGGATATTATACTTTTTTTTTATGATGAAAAATGCTCGATTTATGATTAAAAAAAAAATTGATAACAACTATGAGGATGATAGAAAACAAAATGTTTCCTTTATTATTTTCGGATTTCTCCTTACGTGCTATTGTTACTGATGAATCGACATTATGACATAAAAGGCTATGATCATTTGAATTTTTGTGGGTCTATACAAACTATCTCGAACCCTTAAAAATTCAAATTGATAAGAAGAGGTCTCAAAACAAGACTAAAGTTGATGAAAATTCTAATGAGAGCGATGAGGAGTCACAATTCAAGAAGCGAAAAGTTCTGAATTCTGTTCCATTTACCGCTGGTAAACCTATTACAAAGACTATAAAAAAAAAGGAGAATACCAATAGTGATGAAGATGAGGATGACAGTTTTGAAGAAAGTTATGATGATAAACATTTAAAAGGGCAACAAGCTAAAAAGTCTCAAGCATAAAAAAAACAATAGTGGTTCTGATGAGTCTATTGAGGAAAGTGAAGATGAGCAACCAGTAAAGATTCCGAAGAAGGTTAAAGATGCAAAAATGGTAGATATAACTCCGAAAAGTGAAAAACAAATTGCTATGAAGTCAGAAATAAAAGGGCCCAAAACTCTTACTACAAGTCAGACTCCAACTCTTCAAAAAATCCACCAAAACTTAAAGAAGACTTTCAATCCTCTGAAGATCATGAAGACTTGCAAATCTATGGAACTAGTTGATAAGGAGAAATTCAAATGGACTACTGTAGCACCGAATACTAGTTTGCCGATATCTTCAAAAAAGTTTTGGTAAAAGAAAAGTTTTATTCCAAAGACAACTTCAAATTACAACTATTTGAATTAAGAGGGTGTGTTAAAATTAATTCAAATAATTAGGATTAGATAAACTAAAAGATAAAAAATTAGATTTAAATAAATAAATAAGGGTGAAAGATTTATTGGGATATGATAATTTTTTTATTGTTTTAAAAAATTATATTTTATCTTTTGATCAATATAAATAAGTGCTCTTGGATCAATCTAAAGCACTGCAGATTGAAAGTACTCCTAGTCTCTTCTGCTATTCTCTTACCTTTCTCCCTGAAGTTTTATAGAAAAGCCAACAAATAATAGATGCTAATGACGAGAAAATGTAACCCTTTTAAGCATAGTCAACAAAATTAGATGATGCCAGTCCTGAATTTAATATATTCTAACACAGTGATAATACATTTAGATCAATAATGAGGCTGTGGCCTTGAGCCTTAAAAAAGGGAGCTGGAGCACAATGTCAAAACCAAAATGCAAAGGTTTTAAGTACCTTCTTGCCTACAATCAGAAACTTGGTGTCCTAAGAAAAGAAAGGTAATGTAGTATCTTATTGAAAAGGGATGAATAGCTTTATGAAGCCATATACATGAAACTCCATCATACACAAAGATCTTCACCTGAAGTAGACACAGAGTCACATACTAACATGCTCGCTCATTATGTTCTATATATAAACATGCTCCTATCTTTATCACATTATAAGCATTGAGGTCCTATGCAATTAGAAAACACTTGATGACCATTATGTATAAAACTTAAGATGCACCACTTGCCAGAAGTGGTTTCTAGAACATTCTCAAAGAAAATGAAGTGATGACTAAAGTAACTTTCCACATACCTAATCACACTTCCTTAACTGTTTAATCTAATGGTTATTACCTATTGTTCCAAGGCCTCACTTTTCTGAGTACTCCAGCGAATCCAGAATTTCAGTTTCCTTACAATTGAAGCTTCTTTTAAAAATATAGGAGGGAGTTCCACAATTCGTTCTCTCAAAATTGATATTGGATCAGAGTTAGAGTCTCTAAAAATTTAGATTCATAGCCTCACTGGTTAAAGTTCTTTTTTTGCAACTGTCTAGATCTTTATTTGAGGGCAGGGCTTGGTCGTAAGGTTGTTCTTTTATGACCTGGGAGACCAAGATTTGGGTCATGAAAATAACATTTTTAAATATTTAAAGATAAAGCTGCATACATTAACCATCTCTAGACCTCATATTGATGGAAGCCTCGTGCACTAGGTATGCCTTTTTTTTGTCTTAACCTTTATTTCCACATCTGTGATCACACCTCCATAATAAGGACTATTTACATATTGTTCACGTTGTTTAATCTAATGGTTATTACCTGTTATTCCAAGGCCTCACTTTTCTATGTACTCCAGGAAATCCAGAATTTCAGTTTCTTAACAGTTGAAACTCCTTTTAAAAATCTAGGAGGGGGTTCCACAATTCATTCTCTCAAAATTGATATTGGATGAGAATAGAATCTATAGAAAATTTAGATGGATTAACTCAACAGTTAAAGTTATTTTTTGCAACTGTCTTGACCTCTGTTTGCATATATTCTTCCTCCAAATAAACCACAAAATGACTAGATGAAGCAGATACATACTAAAAGCTCCTAAGCTTGTAGAAAAATTATTTATCAATAGGACTCTCACTATTCTCCTCTGTAGAGATTGTCCACTGCTGGTCAAACATTTCATAATTGGAATAGCAGGGGTTAGATGCTAGGTAAACCAAGGATTGAAATATCATACTGTACTAAAGTTTTGACATTCGCTCA